ATGTGCAGTTCGTTTTGTAACCTAATTTTCATTATCTCGGGGTGTGCGATAGACTTACCTCCACGTGGCGCACCCTGAGCAACGTATACTCATGCGGCAAAAAAGTCTTAATCGGCAGTTGACTTCTCACTTCAAACTACCATCACCCCCACTGTATGTCATGTTCGACCCCTACCACTACTCATCTTACCCTTTCTGAGCCTTTGTGTCTATTTCTTTACATCTTTGAAACACCCTTCTATTCCCCCTCCTGAATTCTTCTCACTTTGATGTTCCTTCTCCCCTCTGTGAAGCCCGAAGTCAACTAAAGGGCTAATGATAAGTATTAAAATGCCTGCCATTTGTTATAAATAAATGTTCATTATCTCAATTATTTATTTTCAGATGGATAAAGGCGATCCTACCTATGCTATTCCAAGCTTGATTAGTCATTTGGTTTCGTAAATTGCCAAAACAATTTCTGTTACTTGGTCTCTTCCCACGCAATATTAACTTAAGAGAAGCATTTCTCACACAAAGAATCTACTCTTTCCTACAATTATTTTCTTTCTATCATTCTTTCTGATTATTCTCATTCTCTGTATCGATTTTCATTGATTGCCTATTAAGTTAATGGAAAGTTCGTGAGTTTGAAGCGAGCATAAATTGTGTTTTTGCGAATATGAAACCTTCTATCGATTAACAAACAAGAAGTAATGGATGAACTATTTGAGCAGCCATTGTCCTGAAAGATCTTAAAATTGAACAAGTTTGTAGGTTTTTACGAGATTTGTGCTCAATTACCTGTTTTCTTGTGGATTTTTACTTAGGAAATCCTTCAATTTGGTTTAAGCGAGAAACTGTCAGTTTGGGATCATAAATAAAGGCAAACTTAAGCTTCCAGTCTTTAAAAATTTAATGCTTGTGTTCTAAGTTTAGTTTCATGCATTAATCAGCAATTAAATACCCATCAATTATAATACTTTTTGTAACAACTCATGCCTGCTTTATTACCGAGAATCTTGAATTTAAGACGATTATATTACATCTGGCTAGTGTCATCTCCTTGATGACATTAGATCATTTTAACTACGCAATTAAGGATCGATCCTAATCAGACCCTCTAAATAAGGCGTGAAATTCGATTAGAAGCTTTTTAGCGTGGGGCTTCAGTATTAAGTCCTTCAACCAACATAAGTTTAATGCCAGGCTCTTATCTCACTTATCCAACTAAATGCCAAATCCGTACGTTTCATCATCGTAATTAGTGCACATCAAAAAGTTCGTTGAACTGGGGTCTACTTTGGCGGAATAAGCGGGTCATGTTGAAAAGAGCTTTAAACGTACTCCAAATTTGGTGCTGATGTAGCTGTATTATGGTTCAATAGTTCATAAATAAATTAATGCTGATTTCTCATTTACTATGGGTAGTGAGTGCGTCCAAGTGTCAAATCTTCTCTATGGAATACTTTCGAGCCAATTTATGAAAGCACTTTCCGGCACTGATTCAGTACTATGAGGTCACTCTCTTGATGGGTTCGCATTCCGTAACCCCCTTTATTAACTGACTTAACCACTCTCCGGTTATGCACTCTTAACCTCCGACTTCGTTATCTTCTGCACCATCGGTTTTCTAACACTTTCCTTGGTTGAAGTAAGGGTACTTTAAGGTCGTTCTATGGATTTAAACAAAGTTCAGATGATTATTTTGATACTGAACGGTTTGACCTCGTTGACTTTCCAGCAGGCAATATGTCTTTTCGCTACCTTTTCCGCATTACTCCGATCGCATCCCATGGAGTTAGTGATTGTTCATATTTTAAGTTAGTCATCACTGTTTTCAAGTTCTCAGGATATATCAAATGGCCTTTGAATGGGTTTCTTTTAAAAATCAAATGCCAATGAGTCTTGTTTGCTTTATATTTTTGTTGTTGTTGATACCCTATTATAAATAAATATAATATTTTTGTTTAATTTATTGCGTAGTCCATTCCAGTATTGGAACGAATTACATTTGATTGACCATAAGATGATATTTAAGCGAACTTCGATGATTGATAAGGTCAAAACTGACTTCAACTGCCTCCACAGTGTGTGTATGTGGCCATTAAGGAACGCAAATGCCTTTAGCCGTCAGCTTGAATTGGCAATATTTGCACTGGTTTGCAAGAGCAGACTTTGAACTTTGTTCTTTGCGGAAGGCGCGTTGTAATATATCAACTTATTATCTTAGTTTTTTATGTGTGATATTAATTGCGGTTTCTTTTGGCAGTTTCAACCACGTCAATGACAGAGGTCAAACCAAATGGTGGGAACGCATCAAATGGGCAGGAAAAGACATCCAGATCTAGAAACTTGGCCAAAACCCTTGGGAAACTAGACCCAACGCAACTGATGCATAATGGACGCTCGAGAGGGTCCAAAATAAATGACGATGCAGATTCAGGTCGTTATGATGCAAGATATAAGGTGGTTTTACTGGGAGAATCGGGCGTTGGGAAAACCTCACTTATTCAAGCTGCTGTAGGCGAACCTTTTAATCCAACTATGATCTCAACTATCGGTAATTTCAAATAAATTGTGCTCCATTATTCATCACCCCAATTTCTTGTTCTCCTCAAGTCATGGTTTCCTCTTTTGAAAGGTATTGACTTTGTGGTACAAACCTACAACGTCGACCATTATCGAATACAGCTGCAGATATGGTAAATTAATGGAAATTAGCAGTAAACAGCTGCCAATTGGGGCTTTAGTGAAACAATAGCGTAGACTGTTTAATTAACGCTGCTTTCTTTCAGGGATACAGCTGGTCAAGAACGTTATCGATCTCTAGCCGCATCGACTTTTAGGGATGCAAAGGTTAGTTATTGATTTTACCTTTTAAGAAATTGTGTCATTTGTGAAGAAAAATTCTTCACTCAATTGCCTTTAGAAGGGGGTAACACAGTTTTAATCAATGCTTATCAAACGCCAACTAATTAGAAAAATCAATATCGGTCGATATATTGTATACTTTATTTCAGTGCAGATTTAAGCTTCTTTGCTTTCAAACCTCACTCGCTGTAAAATTGCGTTTTAAATTTTACATTAATCAAGAAATAAGTGCGATGATATAACAATTATATTTCATTTAACTTAAATAATTTGACTAACTGAAGGGAAATTTAACTGGCGATTTACATCAAAAGTCGCCATTTCTCTAAATAAACCGACTTTCAAAAGTGTTTTGTTCACAGAGTGCTACAATTTAACCCATGTGAACTCGCAAACAATTAACTGGTGGCTAGCAGTGATTTCGTCAACAAGTTTTCGATTTCAATTAAGAACTACTTACCAATTCAAAATTTTACTAATTGATTTCCGTGTGTGTATTTAATTGATAAATTAGTACATATTTCACCGTTTTATATCTGCAAGGGTGTTTAACCTATTCTTGAATTTTATGGATTATTCTTTGTTCTGTATTAGAAGGTTATTTTATTAATTTTGTAAATTCGCTTTCAAGCAAATCTAATTCATTATCACAAGCCGATATTTATTTATTTATTTATTTCAAATGGCAGGCGTTTTGATAGTTATCATTAGCCCTTTAGCTGACTTCGGGCTTCACAGGGGGAAGGAACATCAAAGTAACAGGAAGTCGAGGGATGGGGAACAGAAGAGTAATTCACAGATGTAAAAGAGACAGACACAAAGGCAGAGAAAAGATAAGATGAGTACTGTGGAAGCTGTGGAATATGACATACAGGGGGGTGATAGTAGTTTGAAGACTGAGGTCAACTGCCGGTTTATAGACTTTTTTGCCGCATGAGTATACGTTGTACAACGTGGAGGTAAGTCTATCGCAAACCCCATGATCAAAAGTCAATATAAAGGTAATACTTTGATTTATCGTACTCTTCATTCTAAATCATTTATTTCAGTTTTTTTCTAGGCTTTTATAATCGTCTACGACATAACCAGTCGCGATTCCTTCCGCAGAATCCGTGAAGAATGGTTGAAGATGACAGATATTGTACGTTCGGTACCATAAATAGTCTAATTAAAATTACCCTTTAATAATATCATCTCAAATTGTCAAGTATATGTTGACATTACAAGGATACCAATCCCAATTTCGTCACAGTTCCCTAGATGTGCATCCTATTTCACCCTGTGCTCTTAAAGTACAACGTTGAACTGTATTGGACATAGTTGGTGGACAATTATTCTCACCTAGTGACTATTTTAGAGTCTCCAGATCATCTATTTGACAGGAAGTGAAAGCGGTTTGAATTTGTTTGAAGGGTGATCATTGTTACGGTAAACATAGACAAATTCAAAAGTCGCAGGACTGCTAAAGATCTGCTGTTGCCTTTTCAATGTCAGATTGTTCTGGAAAAGAAATCGATTTGTAGTGAATGAGTACATGTTTTATGGCATGTATCCCAGAAATTGCGTTTGCATGGTTCTGATTCACAAAAAAACTTGGAAATTAGGCAAATCGAGTCCTCATTACACTGATCTTGTCATTAAATTTGAACTATTTCTATGCTTAAAATGATCAATTTCGAATTATTTTAATTAATGAATTTCATTTCTTGACACGGCGCAGAAATTGTTAATCACACATTTCCTATGTTATCCCCTTTTTTCAAATACAATGAAATCATATGGAAGGTGAATAGATGCATTTGGAATCAGCCGAGTTAGGAGATTAAATAAAGCCATCTGTCTTTTTTTAAACCAATTTCGATTGAATTGGCTTAATTGCATAATTGATCTGCCTCTTTTTTTAATCAATTTCAGCAAGGCGGCGAACCAGTGCCGATATTTTTCGCCGGAAACAAAGCCGATTTGGTGCGCTTGAAAGAAGTACCTACAGAAGATGCTCAAAAGGTGATTTCATTTTGTTGTTTTCTTGTGGGAGGCTATGCTCACGTGTAGATCGTGAATCACACGCAAAAAATCGTTTGCATAGTAGTTTAGGCTTATGCTAATTCTGTCACCACGCGGTATACCATAAGAGGGGAGGGCGTTTTCTGACACCAATTTTCGTCTATTTTTGCTTCTAAGTAGCATTGAGTTCAATCACTAAATTCGAGTTTTTTTCAGCTCCCATTGCGTATTCACCTTTCTTACTTAAAAAAATAATATCCTTTTGCATGTTTTTTGTCTCCATTTTGAACTATGAGAATGATTTATCATTCACACACACACACACACACGAGCCATTTGTGAGATAATGTGTTGTTCTCTGCTCGTTCCAGCTTTCTCAGCAGCAATATGCGCATGGATTCTTTGAAACAAGCGCACTAAATGGACAAAATGTGCAGAATTTGTTCCAATCCGTCGCTACTGCCATGGTATCCACATGGAGCATTCCCCAAGTAAATGCTGTTGTTTGTTTTAGCAAATAGAAAATGATAGCAAACTGTATTCATTTCTTTTTTTCTTGTTTCAGCTCTTCTTTGCAAATGTAAGTCCAAATTCCACACTCTTATTTTCAATGAAAGGTTGCATTGTTTTACTGTAATCTTTAATACAGCATAAAAATACTACTCATGCACAGGATATGTTAAATTGTAATAGCTTGTTCCTAAAATGAAAGTTAGTAGTTAAAGTAGTATTATTCATCGCAGCATCGACCTGAAGATTTTAAAAGTAGAACCAAAAATTTGAAGTGTACTTTGGAACAAGAATTGTTTGGCTAGAATGTTGTTACTCTCCAATAAAATCTTTACTTTAACATTACCTTAAATCTGCTAAAACAGCCACTGAGAAAGGAGGTAATTGTTTGTTTTTTTGCTTACTTTAGACTCCATCGTTCCAGAACAATAACCCATTTCGATTGAGTGACCAAATGCCCTTAGGTCAAAATGGGGCAACGAATGCAGATAAAAAGAAACGCACCGTTTTCCAATGCTGTGCCACTTAGAATGCATGTGCATTGGTGGAAAAAAAAACTTTTTTATTCCTTATTAATATTTATTACATTTTTACCGTGTGTGTGTGAATATATATATATATATATATATATA